CTTCCAAAAGGAATCCTACAATCATCATCAGGGCCGCTGGCTCCAGATCGGACGGCGGAGCGAGCACAGCCGCGCCCCAGGGGGCCTAATAATTGGCGCCCCCCATCCGCCCCCGAGCCGCCCCCAACCCCCGTCCCGTCAAACGCAAAGAAGACAAGCGCAACAAGTAGGGTTAGGAGAGGAGGAGTCGGCGGCGGCGGCGGAAAGCGAGAGCGGGTCGTCGGAAGGAACCGCCCTCGTCGTCGGAGATGACGGGCAAGGCGAAGCCGAAGAAGCACACGGCCAAGGAGATCGCGGCGAAGATCGACGCGGCGACGACCAACCGCGGCGGGGGCAAGGCCGGGCAGAAGGACCGGCTCGGGCAGGAGAAGGGCGGCCACGCCAAGATGGAGTGCCCGCTCTGCAAGGTGACAGCCCCGGACGTCAAGTCGATGCAGATCCACCACGAGGCGCGCCACCCCAAGCTCCCCTTCGACCCGGACAAGATCAACAACCTGCACGGCTCCACCGCCGCCGCGCCCGCCGCGGCGGCCGTCGCGTCCACCTCCAAGCCCAAGCCCGGCATCCGCGGCAGCCTCAAGAAGACGGGGTAATCTAAACCCCCCTACCCTACCTTGCATCCAAACCCCCCTATGGTCGTCCGATCTGCGGTGGTCGTCGCCTGCATCTGCTGTCTTAGTTTACTACTGCCGCTGATGCTGCCGTTGCTGCTGCTCTAAATTATTGCCGCTGTTGCTGCTGCCGATGCGTGTGGTGTGTCGTGTGATAGATGCGTGATTTCTTTTCCCTGTATACTTGAGGCCGTGTGGCCTCGTCGCCATGTTTAATTACCTGTCGCTACTCTAAGATGCTGGCAAATTGTTTGCTGATATTAATGTCTAGTGGCGCTCGAGCGATCTGAAAAGATCTGCTGTCGAGCCAGTTCCTCCAATTGGCTGCTAAAGTGCATGAATCGGGGATTTGCGCTTGTGTTAGTGTCCTCGGTGCGCCGTGAGAAGTATTGATTTAGTTGTCCCTTTTTTAGCAAGGGAACAACATCGTTTCCATACACAAATCCATGCTTTAGAATGCTCAACTCTCCTTTTTTCTTCGTGCCATGCGGTTCCTTATGCCATGTTCATTATGCATCATCGATCGATCGGTCAGAATTGGTCTCCTGGGAGTATGGTTGATACTCCTGGTGGTATCACTGGCAGCCTAGCTGCTCTCAGTTTGATGATGAATGAATCTGCCATTGCAGCGATGAACAGAAATGAGGCCTCCACAGCTTCAAGCGCCTCTTCTAAGTCTCTGTTTGCCGTCGCAATGGATTGTTATGACTACTGTCTTGTTTGGTCGGTCGTTTTAAGATATTTGGTTGTCTTGTAATCGGATATATTATGTGCTCCAGAACATCTGGGATGAGCTAAACTGAGCCTAAATAACTGGTTGCTGTCAATTTGCTTGGTACCTAGAAGGGTGGCAACTGATGTTGTGGGATAAACACCTTAACTAATCGCTGCCCTTTATAACAATGATGAATAGTCTAGTGTTGTTGATAAACACCTTAGTTATTGCATTGCCCACTGAAGAGGCATTGCAATGATGTGATATTATGATATGCTTGATACCGAATCCTTGATGCTTCAAGCAATGGTGAGAAGTACTTTTCTACCATTCTGAAATTATGTCAGCCATGAAACTAGGGCCTAGTAAGAACTGGGCCTAGTACTCTCTCCGAACCTAAATGTAAGTCTACAAGCTGTAGACCACATACCGAATGTAGAATGTAGTCTTTATAGTGGAATCTCTAAAAGGACTTGTATTTAGGAAAGTAAATTGTTACCTCGAGGTCGTAGGTCCATTCACTGGTGTGACTTCTCTTCTCTAAACCTGGTTTTGGCTTTTTAAAGCGAGACAACATTCTGTGTTACCCTCACTTATGTTTTGCAATAGTGCTGCTTAACTGGAATCTGCACGCCGGAATTCCCTTTGGAATAACCAGTGTTGCTTAAGGGTTATGTTTGGAGCGCATCAATATTGTAGGAATTGTGTAAATGGGATTGCTTATGCATTGGGTAGCTGAAAACATTTTACGTTCCAGTCGACTTTGGCTTCCAATGGCTGCGTTTTTTTCTTCCTCGCCATGCCGACGCTTCCTCCCTCACACACTACGACCTGTGCTGTCCCTTGTGGCGAGCCCTTGCTGATGGCACCACAACCTGTCGCCAGAAAATGTAGGAAAAATAACATGGCCAAGTACTACATCCGTTCGGTTCACAGTATATGGAAGAACAAATACTAAATTTGTCTATATACATACAAATCAGGAAAAAGTTAGAACATCTCATAATAGTGAGCGAAGGGAGTAAAACATAAGCAGTTGGGCGACACAAGATGGCTTTCTAACCGTGTCAACAATTTACATCGCAAGAGGCACAACAGTGGAAGGCAGATACAACAGAAGCAAAGTAAGAACACTCCAGCGGCCTGATGTGCCAAAGAATTTGGAGCTCCTACTTTGATTTTTCCAGCTCCAGACATAATTGCTTTGCAAGTATGGCACGATGAAAATTGGAAATCATCACAGAAGAACAGTTTGTCTTATACTGTATTGCAGAGTCGGTGCCCTGGCAGTAACGGAAGCTGCTGACGCAAAAGATAAAATGCAAGTTAACAACAGCAATCATGGCAACCATATGCCAATTAAGCAATTACAATGATAGCTAACGAACTATTAACAAGTTGGGTTCGATGAAGTAATTACCTTTGATCACTGAAGCTGTTCCTTGACCCATGAAGACAACTGCTGAAACTGAACTATCATCGCACATCGTTAGCCAGTGCCAATAGCATCTAGGAAAACGATAATTGCGACACATTTCGATTCCAGCTTATGTTGAGGGTATTTGGGTATGAGCCTTAATGATGTAACCTAATCCAATGGTAGAGAAGGTAACTACAAGCTTTCTGATACTAATATACAACGTAATTCTGCTGATGCTGCTGTTATGAAAAAAAAAAAAACACAGTGGACTCTCGTCGAGTCTCAGGGATCGATTGAGCTGGAATTTTCCTGTCTCTTGGGAGCTGGCGCATCCTCCACCTCCACAAGAAGAGGATTCAGATAACCAGACATCAGTATTCTCTGCGCCTCATTGTAACGGGCCCAAGTAACCAGGTATAGACCAGCAATGATGAAGACTCCTCCAATGAGGCTGCAAGTAGTTCACAAGGTGGGTATTTAGTTCTGCATAAATTCGTGGGAATTCTATAGCCCATAAGTGAGGCAAACTAATAAAAAAAAAGTCAAATTTCAGTAACGGTATCCATGGAAAACAACACCAGTTTACGCCAAGCACCATTGCCATTATGTCATACCATTTTGCTTGAAAGAGCACCAAGCTCAACCGATAAACACAATGCAAAATAACCAATTCGAATTACCCGAAACTTGACGACTCATGATGTGACAATGTTCAAATAACACATAGGGTAGAGTGTTGGTTGGTCCATACCTTCCTAGATAGATTGGGGTACCAAGAAAAAGAGTTGAGAGGATGGTAGAGCATGCTGGTTGGAGCGGATTGTAGAGGGCGACCAGAGAAGGTCCGAGAATTTTATTCGCCCAAGTCATGATTGCGTAGTTGAGACAAGACGCAACAACTCCCTGTTGGTTGCAAGCAAGAAATGTGGTTAGAACAAGCTCGGAGAGGTTAGCACATCGTAGCATGGTCATACAAGTTCTATTGTAATCCTAAAGGGCGGCCATAGATTATTATTCAGATACTCACAGCATATAGAACGGCTATGATTTCTGTCCCTGTCAGTGCCCACTCATGGAGCCCGTTGGTTGCAAATACCCCAGTCAACACCATGAATATGGTGGCAAATGAGTAAGAATAGGCTGTCAAGGATAAGCTCGCAGGATATTTTACTAACACCGGGGCCTGGAAACAGTCACAGCAGAAAAGGACACAAATTCAGATGTAATTCTCATTAAGAGCAAAAAACTATCATGAAGCTGAAAACAACCCAATCTGCATCACCTGTATGACAAGATAAGCTCCCATGAGGAAGCAGTTGCCTAAGAGGCACAGGACACCGAGGTTCCAGGTTCCAAAATTGAACTGGAGCGTGGTTGGCGTCAGCCACTGAGCAGGATAGGAACTGCCGCTCCATGACGCGCCGGCGCCAGACAGCGCATTGGCATCTCCGAGGCCGATCAGGGAGGGGCCTCGGTAGAAGACCATGAGGACGGCGCCGAAGACGCACACGGCCGTGCCGACGACCTTGAAGACGCCGTCTCTGGTGAAGACGTTGATCACTTCGACGCTGGAACAAGATCATTTTGGTAATTCTGTTACGGTTCGGTTCAGCATCTGGTCAGAATCCAGAAATGCATTGACATTTCGTAGTTCGTTACGGTTCAGGTTGGCATTTGCATCCAAGGGTCAGGTTGATTGCTCACCCGACGATTGCGGCCAGGAGGAAGGTGAAGACGGGTATGGCGGGCTGGAACGCGGCGGCGTAGGAGGCGTTGGTGAAGCCGAGGCCGAGCAGGAAGAGGAGCTGGTTACCGAAGATCCTGCACGCCGCCAGAATGTGATGAGTTAGTCGATGGAAGACAGCACGAGACTGAAGAGAGTTATTGTTGCTCGCCCCATCAGGCAGCAGCAGCAGCAGTAGCAGCAGAGGAGAGTTACCCGGTGAACCCAAGGAGCGCGAAGGAGCCGAGCAGCTGCGGGGTGACGGGGCGCCGCACCCTCCTGCGGAAATTCAGAATCCGCACCCGAATAGTATCTAGTCAAATTCGATGTCAATTGGTCCAGATCAGAGCAGCCATGGGGGATGGTACGGTGCGTACCTCTCTCGGAAGTAGGCGGCGGGGGCGAGGAGGGCGAGCGCGACGAGGTCGCGGTAGACGCAGAAGACGATCTGGTTCATGCCGACGTTCAGGACGGACTTGGTGAGGACGTGGTAGCCGCCGTAGGCGAGCTGCGTGAAGGCCATGGCCGCGTGCGCCCGCCACGCCTTGTCCTCCCACAGCCGCAGCCTGTCGCGGCCGCTCATCCCCCACATCGACGACGACCACCGCTGCAGCATCGTCGGCTCCGTCCCCATCCCTTCTCTCTCTGACTCCCTCTCGCGCCGGCCGCTGGGCACTACTCCAGCCTTGCTGGGCTCCGACGAGGCTCCGACTAGGAGAAGCGAATCTCCAGATTTTTCGCCTGCGTGCCGTCGTGGCGGATTTATTGGGGGGAGGTATGCGGCAGGTGGCTGCTGGCTCCACGCACGCAACCTGCCTCTGCAGCAGGCAGTACGGTCGCTGCCATGGTAGCGTGAGCTGTTCCATTTGTTTTATTTTTTAGAAGAAGTTCCATTTGTTTTGGGGAATGACTGAACGAAATCTTTGGGCCGGGCAGCATATTCCATCCACGCACGCAACTACGCACCCACCGTGTACTATTCGGAGTGAGACCTCAACGGAGCTGTACGCCGTGTTTGGTTGAGCTGCTGATTCTTGAAAAGAGAGTGAGACCTCAACGGAGCTACACGGCTGTGTTTAGTTGAGCTGTAGATTCTTCAAAAGCTGTTGTGGAAAAGAAGCTGTGGAGAAGCTGGAGGCTGTTTGGTTAAAACAACCGTGAAACTGTAGATTTGGTTGTGAATTGTCTGTAATGTCCGTGGGCATGAGTGAATATGTTCATATGCAAATTGACCGTAATGCAGTGATCTTACTAACAAAATTGTTCATGCTATTAGTATATATGGTCCAACAAGTAGTTACATGACAATCTGTAGCAAACAACCATCCAATGTACATCAAAATGCAACAAGTATTCATCAATAAACTAGTCACTGTACATCAACATAAGACAATATGCAGTCCACTTTCCATCAATATACAACAATTTGACAAGCAATATGTAGCAATACATCAAAACCCATCCACTGTTCATCACTTCACATGAATTCGGTCACTACCAACGGAGAAAAAAATTCAGGAGGTGAGAGGGGAATAGGGGAAGTGGGAGGAAAGGGGAGGGGAGCACCTACTAAATAGATGGAGGAGGTCACGGTGGGGCGGCCAGAGGCAGCGACGGGGAGGGTGCGGAGGAATGTCGGTGTCAAAACCGGCAGATCTCGGGTAGGGGGGCCCAAGCTGTATGTCTGAGGATCAATGGTGACTATGGGCAAAGGACACAGTGTATACCCAGGTTCGGGCCCTCTTGATGGAGGTAAAACCCTACTCCTGCTTGATTATATTTGAAGAGTATAGGGGTTACAAGAGTTGATCTACCACGAGATCGAGTCGGCTAACCCTAGATTGGCTAGCCTAGCAATGTTGTGATCCTGCCTCCGATCTACCCTTCGGTTTATATAGA